AGTCAGCACATCGAACGAGATTGACTGATGAACATTTGAAAGCAATCCTCTTGGTTGGATGCAGCAATTCCAAAGCAAATATTGATGATATCTCAAAAGCTAAACGCCACTTTCACAAATCCCACAAACCTTTTTTGCTGCTTAGTTTGTGAGATTCGTATATGTGCGCACTGGGTGTGATATAACTATCTTATTTCTAACGTCGCCTTCTTTGATAACTTTTTGGAAAATAAACATGTTTGTTGTCTTTATTTTTTGTGTATTCACTGTATTGTATTGAACAAAATGGTTATGCGGCCGGCGCTCGTCATTCTCTCAGTTATCTAGCCCGCTGTGAAAAATGTTTGGTGACCCCTGCTCTAGTCTTACACTGCCAAATTAGGGACGGCTAGCGCAGATAGCCCTCGTGTAGCTTTGCGCGAAATTCAAAACTGGAGTTGATATAAAGTTAATACTATCATCATTAAATAGTTTTAGCAATGTCTATCAATTAATTAATTGACAAAAAAATAACAATTTATGGTACCTCTCTATCCAAAACTTCAAGAAGTACAATTACAATACTGAATTTCAGAATTTTGAACGTGTTTTCACTGATTACTAATTTAATTAGTTATGTTTGAAAACTCCTAAGCTGAATACACGTCACCAAATATTATTTGGATTACGTCCAAAATATCAATAACAGCGATAATATTCAATTAATAAAAATAAAACAAAATATATGTTTTAGATCATCAATTAAAGGATATTGTGCTAGATACCACACGCACACAAAACTAATAAGTGCCAAATATTAATAATGAAAATGAAATGTTTTCCTTTCTCGTTCTTGAAAGAACTGCTAACTTCAATCTTTCATAACTAGCATATAATATATCTTTATGCAGCTATATTCAGTTATTAGTTTATAATTTTTGTCATGTGTTCTGCAATGTGATATTCTTATGAACTTAATGTAACAAGGTCATAAACTTTCACTATTCCTCTACCTTATAAAAAGGTTATGTACTACAATGCTCGTTCCATAAAGCTTAGAACTGATCAATCCTGTAACTGTGTCATATTCTGCTGCAATGAAATCATGCTCATTCCAAGTGGTGATACAGAAACTTGTACAAATTAGTAGAATTGTTAGTTTAATTTCG